CCCCACCCCACCCCACCCACACCACGTTCCCCCCTCGCCCCAGGGAACAGACCCCGCTCTCCCCACATCATTCCCTGGCAGAACAGGCACCGCACACCCTCCCCCCCCCCCTCACCCCCGGGAACCGGCCCCACCCCCCCCACCCCCCCCACATCACTCCCTAGCAGAACAGGCACCGCACACCCCCCCCCCCGCCTCACCCCAGGGAACAGGCCCCAATCCCCCCACCTCGCTGCCCAGCAGAACAGACACCATGCCCCTCCCTCACCCGGTGGGAGGAGAGGTCGGGGCGTGGGGGGAGAATAGACCCTTTCGCCCCCCACCTCCCCACTCCACTCACTGCTGCCCTGGGGAAGGGCCTGAGATAAGAGCTAAATGAACGGGGAGATTGTGAAGACAAGAGGGGCCGGGTCTGCGGCTCACCAGCGTGCTGCTCCATTTGGCCGGGTAATCCGGCTCAGTGTCATCTTCGCCCAGGATCTGGCTGCGATCACTCAGCACAGGAGACTGGGTGCTGGCCTGGTGATCAGTCAGGGTCAGCTGGAAACTGGCAGTGCTGATGGAGCCTTCCCGAGAACTGCAGCCAAGCACAGCAGAGTATGTCATGGCACGGCAAGGCACAGCGCGGTTCTTATTACATTCACAACCAGGCACAGCCTGACAGTCTCCCAGCACATCAGGATGACAGCATGTCACAGACGGACAGAGACAGGGAGGGAGGGAGCGAGGGAGCGAACGAGCGAGGGAGCGAACGAGCGAGGGAGCGAACGAGCGAGGGAACGAGCGAGGGAACGAGCGAGCGAGGGAACGAGGCAGGGAGGGAACGAGGCAGGGAGGGAACGAGGCAGGGAGGGAACGAGGCAGGGAGGGAACGAGGCAGGGAGGGAACGAGGCAGGGAGGGAACGAGGCAGGGAGGGAACGAGGCAGGGAGGGAACGAGGCAGGGAGGGAACGAGGCAGGGAGGGAACGAGGCAGGGAGGGAACGAGGCAGGGAGGGAACGAGGCAGGGAGGGAACGAGGCAGGGAGGGAACGAGGCAGGGAGGGA